ATACAGTAAAGTAAATCTTACGACATGTGTGCAGCGTTTTTTCCCCCTCACATTCATGCACAGTCTCATGTACGTGCAGAAAAACACAGTGTTTGCTCAGCAGCGATTGGGGTGCCATTAAAAAGTCATTGCACCGCAAGCAGGTTTGTACTCATTTAGTGAACGGACACCAAAGCGTGCTCTTTTGTACGCTACTGTGCGAATAAGAACTTACCTGCAGATTCACCCAGACTTATCCATGCTTAATTTTAGGGCCCATTAGGACCCCATTCACACGTGTCGATCTGGCATTGCTGCGGCAGGAATCCCAGGTGTCCCGTTCAGATGCACCCGCTGTACACATTCAAGTTAATGAGGGGGGTAATACATGGTACAGTTACATGCGCTTCGGGATAGAGGACAGTTGCTGGATGCATCATGTATGCCAAACCACATGTAATCATTCCAAGTACTAGAACATGAGGACTGCTTCTTACAGATGCGCCCGCTGTCACCTTGTCATTAACGTCAATGTGTACAGCGGCCGCATCTGAACAGGGACACCTGGAATTTCTGCTGCAGGAATGCCAGATCGCCCCATGTGAACGGAGCAATGTTGCATTTAACACATGCCTCGCAATGCGCTTAAACATGTGTCCAACGTCCCCATAATAAAAATAGCCGGGGTGCTTAAACAAGGCCTTTGTGACAAATTTTTGGCAGTGTGGACGGATTCGGAAGCTTTGCACCAAATTCATGAAACCCATGCTACATTTTCCTTGTTGGCACTGACATGTGCGACAAATTCAAGTCGTTCTTTTACTATCTGTCCCTAAAGTTGTGACAAATTGATAAAGTAACACCGCCATGTCAGTGATAAGGAAGTGGGAGGCCGACATAAGTCAATGGCAGTGCATCAAAATGCACATACCAAGATTTTTGATGTTTTGGCAACAGGTATTAACAAGCCTTGGTCAATGGCTGTTAACCCAAGCCACACCAAACTTTAGGTTCAAAAAGCATTGGAAACGCACGTCAACACTCATGGCAATGCAAAAATTAAACACATGCCGACACACCATGTAATCTCACCTACATAACACACCTCTATGCACACACATAGATCTAACTGGACCCTTAGGCCTGGTTCACACTGAGCGTATTGTCGCAGCTGATTCAGCGCAACAAAAAGCTTCCCCCCAAAAAATCCCATTCATTCTTATGGCCCCTGTTCTCTCCTGAGCGTTTTGTCCCAACAAGGGGACAGGCTCCAATGTAAAGGGGGCAGCGAGTCTGATGTGAAGGAGGGCTCTTGATGCAAAGGGTGGGGACAGGCTCCAATGTAAAGGGGGCAGCTTTGATGTAAAGGGGGAACAGGCTCTGATCTAAAGGGGCAGCTTTGATGTATCGGGGGAGTCTGATATGAAGGGGGGGCTCTTGATGTGAAACGGAACACCTTTTATGTATATGTTTTTTAAATTCTGTTTTTTTTATTATTAAGAAAGATTTTTCAGACATAAAAACCAACAAGGTCATACTGCAAGCAATGTCATATATAACCTCATAACATGAAATGTCGCCATATCATGGTATAGCAATAAGAACACCCTTTTATGTATATGTTTGCATGGGGTTCCCCCTTAGAATTCACATCAGACCTATATGGGCTAAGGGTCTGGTATGGATTTTTGAGGGGTAAAACATTGCTTTTAACATTTTAGACTGGGGTGTCTCGAGATTTTGCAGACTTTTAAAAGGTGCCGTGGCTGAAAGTAGCTGGAGAAACGCTGCTATAAGTAATCACATGGCTGATTCGGTTCTTGACCATGGTAGTCAGTCTACACAGGCAGCCTCTAGGTGGAGCTTTACTACAAGTGGTAAGGCTCCTTGTGGAAGTAGTCACCATGTGTCTTATGTCTTGCATGCACACAGGCGAGGGTTTCAGGTCCTCCCTGGAAGGCAGATTGTAGGGTGATCAGCGTTTCACTGTCTACTTCCTCCTTCTGGGGAAACGAGAACTGAAGCCACGACTGGGATTTATTCAGCCTGCCCAGTTATACACCTGTGAGGGGAGGTCGTTCTATGAATCCCCCCGATATCTTCATATACAGGACATCGCAGCCTTTCACATCTCCAGACAACAGACCACCCTGCAATGGAAATCAGTCTTACTTGCACTCAAAAAGTCTCTTATGTACTCTTCTGCAGAGTAAAAAAGAAAAGTTTGAAGTGGTTACGTGTACAAGGGGCCTGCAGGCTTTTCCACGCTGCTCTGTGGGCTTCAGAGAATCCTTTTAATCGCCCAAGCCGGCTTCCACTGTAAGCAAACCTTCTACAAAGCCTTCTAGGGCCCCATTCATACATTCAGGTGCTCCTGTTAAAGTCTACTGGGGCCAAAACGCGTGACTCCGCCCCAAAAGAAGCTCATGTGCTTTTTCGTGTTACCGGCGTTTTGCTACATGCAACAGAACGCTCAGGTGTGAACAGGGGCCATTTACAATGGGGTTCCATCTATTGAACGCTTTAGCGCTCAGACATTTCAGCTACAAAATGCTCATTTGTGAATGAGGACTTAGGCTGGGTTCCCACCTAGGCGTACGGAATATGTGCATTTGCCGCACGTTTTACCGCGATTTGCGGTAAAACACGTGCTTCCGAGGGCTATCCCGCTGTATCTTAATGGATACGCGCGACAAATACGCCCCCAAAGAAGCTCCTGCCCCAGGTCTGTACAGAGAACAGACATGGGCATGGAGGAAGTAATCAATGGACTATAAATGCAGTGACATCACACTTGTACTCCATTGAGATCTATGAGTTCCTCTGCCGCGGTGGCAGATGGGAGTTGTGGTCTTTTCATTCACAAATAATGTGAATGGATGAAGTGTCACCATACTTTGTTACACCCTAAATAATGGTGTAATATTCTTTTAGAGCCCATTCACACTGTATAAATAAGGATGTCAGATTTATTTAACAGGCTCATAGCTCCTCCCAAGCAATTCTACGCCAAGATCCAGTATGAACACACCACATATGATATGTAAAATGCCCCATCAATCAGTCAGTCAGATATAACACAGCATGTGGAAGTGTGTCAGGTCCTAGACCAGTGGCAGGTAACCTCAGCATATCAAATCAAAATTATTTCATAGAACATTTAAAGTCGGACCTTCCAATGGAGACATTTCTTACAGGGACACTGCTCTAAAGCTGGCAATAGATAGATGGAACGATGATAGATGGAACGATGATAGATGGAACGATGATAGATGGAACGATGATAGATGGAACGATGATAGATGGAACGATGATAGATGGATAGATAGAACAACGATGGATAGATCTTATATCAGGGGTGGACAAATGATTATGGAATTCCGGAGCCAGTCTGATCTTGTTTTAGAAACATTGACAACAACTAGAGAAAGCCCGCACAAGTATAGTGCCGGCTGTCATTTCTAGGCACAATGGTGACCTGTCTCCTGGGATTTGTCATGACATATATACAGTATATATCTATATCATGATACAGAGCTGGACAAATCCCAGGAGCCAGGTCACCAATGAGATATACAGTATATACCATATGCACATGGTGTCATTTTTCCTGCCATACCCATTGTACAGATCCTCAGCATTCTGCGGCCAGGGCTACACTGACCTGCCACCATTAATAATGGTCCTGTAGCAAGCAGCGCCTCCCCCCACTCATTGCAGGCAGCAGTGCTAGAAGTAGGTCTGCTCCTGAAGACCAGCGGAATGTCCCCTCCTCTCCAGGAGCAGACAATGCTGTTCCCTTCATTAGCATACAGCTGACACTTGGCTCTTTTCACACTGACTGTCCCACTGAGCTGCATGTGGTCCCAGGAGACAGGCTGACCCAGGAAGCAGGCTACATGGAACAAATGGGGACCCTAGCCCCTACTTAACCTCTTCCCCGCCAGGCATCTGTCTGCCTATCCCCTGGCACTGAGCAGGTTAAACTTTAAATCCCTTGGGTCATGCAGATCCCAATACAGCAAATAACAAGAACAAATAAACAATGTAACAAACAAATCAGTGTAACTTTCCTGCTGTTTATTATTAATTCCAAGTAACTTCCAGGGCAGCAGAATGATCACAGTAAGTTCCCCCATGCCCCACACGTAGGGATCGCACAGCACAAGTAGATACAGTGAATTAATTGGGGGGAAAATGAAAGTAACCAAGACACAGCAAGCCTTGGGAAGCTGAGATTTTCCATGACCATCAATCCTCTGGTCTGATGATACAAACAGGCTATTAGAAGGAGTCAGTGAGACACATGAGCCTGCAGGCAGGCCATGCTGATACACACAGCAAGCTGACATTGAACAATAAAAAGCAGCACAGCCTGTCCACACACCCCCCAATGCCCAGCGCACCCCCCAATGTTCAGCGCACCCTCCAATGCTCTAGCGCACCCCCCAATGCTCAGCGCACCCCCCAATGCTCAGCGCACCCCCCAATGCTCAGCGCACCCCCCAATGCTCAGCGCACCCCCCAATGCTCAGCACACCACCAAGCTTTCCTAACTTTTCCCAAACTGCAATGCCTGCCCAACTCCAACCCAATGCTTTTCATCTCCTCCATACACATTTGCACAAGTTACACCCCACCCTGCCAAATCACAGAAAGCATAACCATGATCAGTGCAATGTGTTAGCTATAGATGCATTAAAAATAAAATCCTGATGATCATGAAGCAATGCTTCAGTGCACAGCAGTGTTTACATACCCCAGACAGATGAAGCAGTGGAAGCCAATCAGCAGCCCCCCTAAAAAACAAAACAAATAGCTGTTCCACTCTAAAGCTGTGAAGCAGTGCAATATTTTATAAATAACCCAGTGAATGACCCTCCCCCTACTGTAGAGCATGCTGCAGGAAATTAGTGCATTGTGTCTGGATCAGAGCCTGAGAATGCACAGAACCTGCAAGGAGGAGGAGGGGGTAGGGTGAGATGAGTAGAGATGGGGGTGAGCCCCATGCAGACACTTACCTGGACTCAGGACACGACTGGCTCACTAGTCACAGCTCACTACTAAAGCCACTCTTTGTTACCATACCCTGAAAACTTGAAAATGAGGCAGGCATGAGCAGCCGAGCGCAGAGCTCATCCAGCCAGCAGTCACAGCTCAGGGCTGCCAGCTGCTAACATTCCACACGCTACAATAGTGAGCGAGGCTGCTGAGGATACAGAGAGAGCAGCGGGCTGACCCCAGCACAGGGGGGCTTGTCTCATGTGCCTGTTGCATCACATTGCATTGTGTTCAGAGATCATAAATAAATACACAGACCCCAGTCATATAGTCACTTCCAAGCACTGGAATGCTGTGTGGTTTCATGTATGCATATGTAATGCTGTACTCCAGGTATATATATATATATATTTATAGTTACTTTGGGCCAGCTTGGCCCGGTGTAAGTTTGCATATTGTATACCTGGAATAACCATGGGTGTGCTATAAAGCGATGTAGTGGCCGGAGCTACTACCACAGTGCTGGCTGCCATTGTTTGGGTCCTTTGCTGAGCGGGTTCCCCTCTGCTGTGAAAACACGGGGGTCACTCAGTGGCGTCACGCTGAGGGGGTGACGCCATCAGAGGTAGTTCTATGGAAATCCCACCACACTCCTTACCAGTATGTCCCTTTCAATTGGGTGCTGAGGTGACTGCGGATGGCGCCTCTGTATCCAGGTATGCGTGTCACCAGCACACCAAGGTCAATTGTCTTTTTATTGACGTGAGTGCATCTTGTCAACAATAGGCAGCGTTTCGGGGCCACTTAGAGTCCCTTTATCAGGCACAGTATATACTGTGCCTGATAAAGGGGCCCTAAGTGGCCCCGAAACGCTGCCCATTGTTGAGAAGACGCACTCATGTCAATAAAAAGACAATTGACTTTGGTGTGCTGGTGGCACATTACTTTATACCATCAGACGGGGTGACACCAACATGATTGACAGTCATTCTGGTGTCACCCGCTAAGTAGGGCACTCAGTCATGGACCGATAACCCAATAGCAGCAGGAGAAAGGAGGGGACTTGGTGGCTTACCTGATCCCGCCAGGTCAATATCCCCTCCTCACCAAGATGGCCTCCAGCAGTGAAGTACATCACCACGCATGCTTGATGACGTCACTTGCTTGGCACAGGGACCATTCACAGAACACCTAGGGGGGAAATGATCAAAACTGGAGTAGATGTATCAAAATAATTTCTAAAAAAAAAGAGCAGGCAGAATCAGGAGCCAATCAGCGTCTCTCTTTAGATTGCTCAGTTAAGCTTTGAAAATGAAAGAGAGAAGCTGATTGGTTGTTCGGAGTAGAGGGGAAGCTGCTTAGCACCGGGCTGGATCCAGAGGCGTGTTCAGTTGCTCAGTCGCTGCGAGTACTGAGTTAGCTAACCGCCGCTGAACACTCTGCTGCAAGTCAGCGGTCAGCACTGCTAACTTAGCACTCGCAGCGGAAGTGAATGTGGATGCAAAATGTTGAGTGTGATGGAGGAGGTGGGGACAGAGTACCAGCTGCCATTTTAACTGTGGGCACACCTGGCAATGCTGGAGACCGGTGCCTGAACCCCAATGGAGGAAATCAATTCAGTGTGGGAACCTACAATTTATTGTTTTGGTGGATGAGCACACCAAATATTCATGAAAAATATTATCCTCCGCCATTTTGCTTGGCACTGTGCAGCCGAAGCGTTCAGTGAAGCTGCTGCAGCAAACAAATGCTGCAGAACAGCGACTCAGCGCCTGACTCAGGAACGGAACACGACTAGTAAACTAAACCTGAGATTGCAGTGACGTCACTGGTTGCCAGTAGCTGGGCAGGATGACAGGAGCACAATTTGTTGTAGATACACCTCTGCATACACCTATCATTGTATGCTCAATTCCCCATCCACACTGGGCTTGTGCAGCCCTACGAGGTTGACCGAAAATAAACACGTAGTGTAGGGGTGGGCAACCTGTGAGGAAACTACAAATCCCCTTCACACCTCTGCCTCTGGGAGTCATGCCTGTGGCTGTCAGAGTCTTGTAATGCCTCATGGGATTTGTAGTTCCACAACAGTTGGAGGGCCAAAGTTACCCACCCCCAAAATAGTGTTTGATCAGCCGTAGTGACAGGTGTAGTGACAGGTTTGCTTTGAATGAACCCATAATCTTTTCTCCAGCCCTCATCTCCAGCTGTTATGCTGGGAGGGAAAGAGGTTAGACCGCACAGGGTGCTTAGCTGACATTTAGGAATGTGTTAGGAGGCAAAGCTGAAACTACTAGAGTTATAATCACAGGATCACAAAATGGTCGCCTTAAAATGACATAGCGTGGGCAACGGTAGACATGGATGTCTCATACAGGGATTAGAGCAATCAGGGGGATGGTGCATAGATTAGGACTCACACTATGATTCCTAAATTGAGATAGAAGTGTAGGCAGATTATACCCAGTACCCTGTTATAGGTTTTACAAAATATCACAATCTGTGTTTAGGGAGGACCCCAGTCTGTCTTCTTGTCAGCCTTTTGTAGGTCCCAACACTCAAGGATAGAAACTGGGAGATGCAGGAAGAGCACTGTAAGTCCCCGCTCACACCATTGCATTCCATGAAGCGCAGGAAACTCAGAAAAAAAAGTGTTCACAGAACGCGTCCAAAACGCACAATGAGCTTGTGGTGCCATTACTAGTTATTGGCACCCCAAGCACTGCTTTGAAAACGCATGGTATCCCTGTGTGTTTGCTTATCAACACGTGCACAAACATGCAGGAAAAAAGCAAAATGCATGCAGCAGATTTTGTTACATGAGTTACATTACCTGCGTTTGACGTGCGGGTGGCACCCATTGAAATCAATGGGGACGCGTGCCAAACGAGGGAAACCAATGCCCATGAACGTGTGGGAATGCACACCATCGCTATGCCTGTTACCGCTATGTGATGGGGGAACAGGGACTCAGGCCAACAGATATTACTACATTGTGCAATACACAGGGAGCTAGCTGAGAGGAGCGTACTACACACCTCATCAGTGTTTCATCCAATCACAGGCTGGAGACGGTCCTTGACCAAGCTGCTCTGCTTTATCTGCAGTGGAGAAAAGTGAGGTCAGGGATCTGAATTAGACATTGTTTCAGCGGTGTATTTAGGTATCGTGCTGTCCTAGGCAAGATGACCCCCCCCCCTCTAAATTTGTCCCACCACTTCCTGTTCAGGACATTTTGTGTAACCTGTCAGTCGCTGGATACAGCTTCTGACAGGTTGCGTTATTAGCGTTACAGGGAAGCCGGGGTCTCAGGTGGGCTGTAAAGGATCTCTTGTGGGCTCTGCAGGGTCTGAGACTGCAAAAGACCCTGCAAACCCTACCAGAGACCCCGCAGAGCCCACCATAGACCTTGCACAGCCCATCTGTGTCCCTGGAAACCCCACCAGAGACCCTCAGAGCCCACCATAGACCTTGCACAGCCCATCTGTGTCCCTGGAAACCCCACCAGAGACCCTCAGAGCCCACCATAGACCTTGCACAGCCCATCTGTGTCCCTGGAAACCCCACCAGAGACCCTCAGAGCCCACCATAGACCTTGCACAGCCCATCTGTGTCCCTGGAAACCCCACCAGAGACCCTCAGAGCCCACCATTGACCTTGCGCAGCCCACCATAGACCCTGCACAGAGAATCTCGGGTGGGCTGTGCAGGGTCCCCTTCCCTGCACACATCCCTGCAAACCCCACCATAGACCTTGCAGCGAAGACTCTGGCTGTGCAGAATCTATGATGGGCTGCGCAGTGTCCCTTTCCCTGCACATGTGCTGCTCCTCTTACCTGCAGCTCCCCAGCCTGCTTCCAGGACATGCCGCTTCAGGCCGCGTCTGCCTCGGCCCTGGCCACACCCGGCAGCTCGCTATCAGGCCCCAACAGCAGCCACCTGATTAGGCATCCAAGGCTGCCTAATTTTGTGTGCCCGGCACCGGTCTTCCTCTCTGACCTGGGTGGCAGTTTTCGCCTCCCCCCGCAAAGTGACGCTCCATGCAAACGCCTTGTTTGCCTCGCAGTAAATACGCCCCTGCAATGTTTGCAGGTAAGACACTTCTGCCATTTGTGTACACCTACTGAACACTTTAATATGCATTGCGGTGACATGTGATTTACATGGCTCACATTTTTTTCCAATCTTGTTTTGGCTTTATTGGCAAAGTGCAGTCCATGGCACCCAGAACTGAGGCATGCAGGACTTTTTACATGCAAATCAATACAAAGCAACAGTGTATACAGCTCCTAATCAAAACAATGGATTTCCTTTCACTGTAAAATGAAGCGATAAGCATGACAATGCATCCCGCATGACTGAGCCCTAAAGGTGTACTCTGAGCACAATGTAAAATGAAGCCTCAAATGACGTCATGGGACCTCAGCCTACCTGCTCAGAGCTTTGGGCTTTTATTCAGACGTTGCTGATGTGATCCAGCCCACCCTACTTCATTCTATTGCTAATCTGGAGATGTGTGAACTCTGGCTGCAGTGCATAATACATAGAACTCACATGAATGTAAACTGAGTGGGCATTTTTTTTTATTTAAGCACAGTTGCAGTATTTGCTAGATAGCATTAGGAGCTTGAAGTAGTACTAAACACTCAAAGTTTTTTTTCAATAATGAATTCAGATCAGACAAATATTCATTGCCCAGCAACATATTTCTTTACATTTTTACCCAACCACTTACAGTCATCATGTTTCCAAACAGCTTCAACTCTCTGAGCTTAACTTCCCTGAACTTTCTGTCCAGCACAAGATCACAAGGGGCAAGGAACAAAGCAGTCTCCAGCAGCTGTCCAGATATTAAGCTTGGAGAAGGGAGGAGGAAGGAAGAAGGAGCAGGGATTAGGGGGCAGAGGACTGGCTTGTCTTGCTGTGCCTGTGTGTTTATGGAGACACACACACAGCTTACTAGCACACACAAGGGTGGCTCCATAGGACCCTGCAAGGAAATGAGACACCCTAAAACAGGATATCAGAACCAGTGCCCAGGAGGCCAGGAGATTCTACAGGAAACTACATTTTTTTACATCATGAAGTAGCA